CAAACTCAGTAGTAACACAAACTCAGTAGTAACACAAACTCAGTAGTAACACAAACTCAGTAGTAACAGTAACTGAGCAGTAACACAAACTGAGCAGCAACACAAACTGACCAGTAACACAAACTCAGTAGTAACACAAACTCAGTAGTAACACAAACTGAGCAGTAATACAAACTGAGCAGCAACACAAACTGAGCAGCAACACAAACTGAGTAGTAACACAAACTGAGTAGTAACACAAACTGAGCAGTAACACAAACTGAACAGTAACACAAACTGAACAGTAACACAAACTGAACAGTAACACAAACTGAACAGTAACACAAACTGAGCAGTAACACAAATTGAACAGTAATACAAACTGAACAGTAACACAAATCGAGTAGCAGCACAAACCTAACTGTAACACACAATTTAAAATTTTGTTTCCACCTGAAATATGGTCTGGGTTTTCCAGGGTTAATGTTGTTGAAAAGCTATTAATTCCAACAGAAATACCATTTTTATTTATACATGATCAAGTTTAACAACAGTTGAAGACTCCATGGTGGGAACAGTGATACAAAAATAGTGACATCATTGCAGCATCAGGGTGTTCATCTCATATTGTTACACACTATTTGGCCCCTAATATGTAATGAAGGGAGTCACTGTGGCATTGGCAGCTAGACATCTGAAGGTTGTGGGTTCACGTCCTGATGGAGCTAGACTTTTTTTTCTTTCCAGAAATGATCTTGACTCCCAGGTTCACCCAGCCCTGTGTGGGTACCAGGTGCAGTCCTGGGAAGTAAAGGCGGCCGGCATGATGCTGACCACATCACCCACAAAGTGGCGATACAAATATTGGTCCAGCCCTATATTTCCAATACACCTACAGGCGTGGAAAAGGGGACCTTTATTTTACTACCTTAATATGTACTGAGGTCAAGGTTATGTCAGCTATCTTTTCTTCCCAGGACATTTCCTGGAACCTGTATAAGACTAGAAGGAATGGAGGAAGTGGCTTTGAATCTTAGACAGGATGAGTTAAATATATACTTATTTTGGACTTAAAGGGTTACCAAAATGTACCATTAAAAGATGCTATTGATAAAATGCTAAGAGATGAGCAGGCAGGTTTTCGGTCAAACAGATCCTGTACTGATCAGATAGCCACATTACGTATTATAATAGAGCAAAGCATTGAACTGAACTCACCACTTTACATTGGATTCATAGACTATGAAAAAGCATTTGACAGCATTGATAGGGAATCTCTCTGGAAATTGATGGGGCACTATAGAATCCCACAGAAAATTATCAACTTAGTAAAGGCAACATATAAAGACATGAAATGTCGAGTTCTTCATGAGGGAAAGCTAACAGATGCATTTGAAATAAAAACAGGTGTGCGACAGGGATGTCTTTTGTCGCCTCTCTTATTTTTACTGGCAATAGACTGGACTATGAAAACAGTAACTGCTAACACCAAGAATGGAATTCAGTGGACCCCTACAAAACAGCTTTATGATCTGGACTTCACTGATGATATTGCTCTTCTGTCCCATTCACATAATCAGATACAAGATAAATTAAATATACTTAATGCGAGATCACAGCAGCTTGGTCTGAAAATCCAACAAAGGAAAGACAAAGATAATGAGAATAAATCAGGCAAATAGTAATGTGGTTTCTCTTAATGGCACCCCACTCCAAGACGTGGAGTCGTACACCTATTTAGGCAGTAATGTAGATAAAGATGGAGGAACTGATAGAGATATTAAAATTAGAATACAAAAGGCAAGAGGGGCTTTCATAGCACTAGGGAATTTGTGGAGGTCAAAAGAAATTAAAAGAAATACTAAACTAAAATTTTTTAATTCTAATGTTAAATCAGTACTATTGTATGGGGCGGAAACATAGAGAACAACCAAGGCAATTACTAATAAATTACAGACATTCATTAACTGGTGCCTGCGCAGAATAGAGGGAATAAAATGGTATGATAGAATAACTAATGTAGAACTTTGGGAGAGAACTAAACAGGCTCCAGTGGATCAGGAGGTGAGGAAAAGACGCTGGCGTTGGATAGGGCACATACTGAGGAAACAGGAAAACAGCATAACTATAATGTCCTTGCATTGGAACCCACAGGGGCGTAGGAATAAAGGAAGGCCAAAAAACACATGGAGAATAGAGCTGGAGAATGAGGTTAGAAAGATTGGGAGGACATGGGGAGAGCTCCATGCAATGGCGAAGGATAGAACGACTTGGCGTGAGTTGGTTGAGGGCCTATGCTCCATTGGGGGATAGAAAGGCAGAAGAAGAAGAAAATGTACCATAAGTTTCATGCATATAACTGTATCCTATCTCTGTTTGATCCCTATTTGATACTCCTCAGAATTATTAACCGTACCCATACGGGATGTAATTTGTTGTTCTTCGAGGCCTCACTACGGCTGTTGTCGGCAGCTCTGATGTAACCCCTACCTGTTGAATAGGGCTTGTAGGACCGGGTGATCCTCATCCAAATGGTGGCACTTTGTGTCACAGGGTGTTATCGCGTGGTGTGATGTCCTGGTGGGGTTGAACGTCAATCAATCAACATGATTCTCTCCTACTGTCTTTGTAACAAAGGTTTCCAGGATTACAAAGATCTATTAGCCAAGACCTTCAGTTGGACTAATCAACCACAGGCTCTGGTTGAATCTGCCACATGCTCTCAGGTCAACTGAGCTTAAAATAAGAAACAGGAAATACCCTTGGAGGTAAAGGTGGCTGGATTACTTTGGCAAAGTCAACTGAGAAACCAACATTAATAACATTATTAAAAATGTGATCTTTATTTATCTTTATGATCGTTAGCTGAAAAATCATTGGCCAAATCATTCTCATTATTCTGTGATATCAGTGTAAACTAATGAAGTAACTGAGTGATGTATTATACAAGGACCGACAATTAAGTAATGAGACTGACTTTATTATAGCAAATACAAAAAAGGTCATCTATGAAGCAAAGCATGGAATCTAAAGAGACAACATTCATCTATGATCTGGATAATTTTCTTCGCCACTCGATAAGCAGACAACAAACAAGCCGCCATTTGTGTTGACCCAGTCAGATGTGCATTGTTACGAAATCAGAGCGGAGCAAAAAGCTTACATTAAATTCTTTTTAAAACTAAAAAAAGCGCGACTGAAACAGTTGAATTAATGCAACAAGTTTATGGGGATAATTGTTTATCTTGTGCACACATTTTTAGGTGGTATTCAAGATTCAAAATTGGTGTGGAAATGATTACTAATGCACCTAGACCTGGACTCCAAATGTCTGTTCGTAATGATGAACTCATTGCAAAATAAGGAGAAAGCATACAGAAAGATCATTGTTTTACTGTGTGGATGATGGCAGATGAATCTGGTGTTGAGAGAGACCATTCATAACATTTTAGTGCAAGATTTTGGCTCCCAAAAAAGTTGCTTGCCGGTTTGTACTACATTCGTCTGATGCCCAAAAACATCAGTGATTGAGTACCCAAGAGAGAAATCATCAAAACAAGAATTTTTGGCCCCAAAACAAGTGTGTGTTCTCAACATTTAACCTTATCTCCCAGACTTGTCTCCCTGTGATTATTTTCTAATGGCAAAATTAAAGTTACAATTGAAAGGACGCTCCTTTAATGATTCTGATGACATCCAAAGGGCCGTAACATCGACTTTAAGGGCCATAACAACAAAAGAACTACAGAGGTCATTCCAATGTTTGTTAGATCGTGCCACTTGCTGTATCAATGCACAGGGGACTTACTTTGGATCAGATACAGGTTATATCTTCAACTGTTGATTATTTTAATTTTTATGGAATTAGTCTCATTACTTAATTGTCAGAACTTGTATTACTGTGTGTTGTTGATATAAAGAGTCAGTGTTCTATTCAGGTCTAATGTTGGTCTAATAAAGCATGGGTTCAGATAAGTCTAATCAACTATGAGATTAAAATAGTCTAATTGGTCACATTTTCAAATTTGTAAAATGCCACAGGCTCAAATTCGTCTAATCACTCCTGACTTCAGAACAGGTCTATTCAATCAGGTGCTCAAGATTGGTCTATTCAGTCATGACATCAAGATTGGTCTAATCCGTCCTGACATCAAGATTGGTCTAATCACTCATGACCTCAAGATTAGTCTAATCACTCATAATGTCAAAACTGGTCTAATCAGTCACGACCTCAAGATTAGTCTATTCACTCATGATGTCAGAATTTGTCTAATCAGTCATGACCTCAAGATTAGTCTATTCACTCATGATGTCAGAATTGGTCTAATCAGTCATGACCTCAAGATTAGTCTATTCACTCATGATGTCAGAATTGGTCTAATCAGTCATGACCTCAAGATTGGTCTAATCACTCATGATGTCAGAATTGGTCTCATCAGTCATGACCTCAAGATTAGTCTATTCACTCATCATGTCAGAATTGGTCTAATCAGTCATGACCTCAAGATTGGTCTATTCACTCATGACCTCAAGATTGGTCTAATCAGTCATGACCTCAAGATTAGTCTAATCACTCATGACATCAAGATTGGTCTAATCACTCATGACATCAGGATTGGTCTAATCAGTCAGGAGCTCAAGGTAGGTCTATTCAGTCATGACCTCAAGATTGGTATAATCAGCCACATTCTTAAATTTATCAAAGCCATGCCTAAAAACGGTATAACTAATCATATTCTCAAATTTGTCTTATCGGTCATGCGTTTAAAGTGGCATATCAGTCCAGTTCTCAAATGTATCTCAGTCATGGACTAAGAGCTGTATATTTATCCATGCACTCAAATTAGACTAATCAGTCATGAGCTTAAATTGCCTAAATATCCGCTCTCAAAAATTAATTTTAAAATGGTCCTCATCAACAATTATGGACAAACATTGCGCCCCACCCCCCCCCCCCCCCTCAATATACTATAAACATCACATCTGTTTTTCAACAGTTTGGTTTAATTCTCTCTCTGACTCTACCCAGTGATGATGTCAGTATTTGCTGTCTGTATTTTATTTTGGCAGTACTGGATAGTCAAGTCGGTGAAGTATGCCAGTTTGACTGGGGCTTCCATGAGAACATTGATGACGGTGAGACTGTCCTCAACAGTGATGTTATCTGTCAGAAGAAACCAGAGATATTATAATAATGATGCTTTTGTTCCGTTTCAAGGTTAATGGAATGTGAATGAAAATATAGTTTCCAGAGGTCATTCAGAAAAGGCTGGGAGAAGATTGAGGCAAAATAAAAAAAGAGGGAAAGGAAAGAAAAAGAGTTCTAGTGGGGAGAGAAAGGGGTTAGCATAGAGAGAAAGATGAGAGTGCAGGGGAAGGGTGAGAGGAGAGAAAGGGAGAGTAAGAGAGGTAAAAGATGTTAGAGAAGTCAGAGAGAGGTATCTGATAAATAAAGACATTAAAGAGAAAAACAGGAAAAGAAAGAATGTGAGTTAAATTGTACAGACAGAAGTGGTGAGAAAGAAATATACAGGGGTTCAATAGAAGGGGAAACAAAAGGAGACAAATGTGAGAAAAGTGAAATAGAAACTATGAGAAAATGACAGAGGTTAGAGAGGAAGAAGGAAGAAAGTGAGAGAGAGAGAGAGAGAGAGAGAGAGAGAGAGAGAGAGAGAGAGAGAGAGAGAGAGAGAGAGAGAGAGAGAGAGAGAGAGAGAGAGTAAGTCAGAGACAAATGGTGAAAAAGAACTAGTGAAAGCTTAGAAAGAAAGTAAACATAAAGTGAAAACAGAAACAGACAGAAAGAAATAATCAGAAAGACAAGAGAGGTTGGAGAGAATGAGAAAGTTTTGAAAAAAAAAGAGAGGCAGAGCAAGAGACAGTAGTAGAGAAATACAAGAAATAAGAATCATAAACAGACAAAAACAAGAGCAAGAGACAAATGTTGATATAAAAATATCAAAGGATATGAAAGGGCTGTCATATTTATTTACCTATCTCAATAAACAATACAACCTCGACACCATCTACCTATCATTACTGATGAATGAGTAGACATTTTGTTCTTGGTCTGCCAAATGCTCTGCATATTTCTTCTCTTTTAGCGTATGCCTTGTATGGTATGGTCTCACAAGGCGTTCTCTATAAGTGGACAAACTATCTGATTTGCTGTCTTTGTAGGAATTCAGAACTGCTTCTATGATGTGGTTCCTGATTCTGGTCACTCCTGCAGTCTTTCTTAGACGTCTCATTTCCATGATTACTAATTTTCATTTCAGGTTTGTTGTGAGTGACCATGTCTGGTACTGATAGCATAGGATGGGAATGCATGAAATGTTTCTTTGTGCGGATTGGGATTGTCTTATTCTTTTTTTCTTAAAGGAAAGGGGAGGGGGGGTGTTAGCTGTCTAAAAAAAAAAACTGGTTTGTTTTACTGCATCAGATGTTAAACAATGCAATAATTTTGCAAAAGTATTACAAGTAAACAGGAGTTGCTGTGGTGGAGCTGATAGACGTTCATCGCAGATTGGAAGGTCTTGCAGGTTCATTCCCTGGCAGAGCCGGATTTTAAAAAAAAAATGACTTTGACTCCCAGGTCGACCCAGCCTTGAGTGGGTACTGGGTGCAGTCCCGGGAAGTAAAGGCGGCCGGCATGATGCTGACCATATCACCCATCTTGTGCCTATCGGTCTATACAATACAGGTCTAGCCCTATATGCCCTATAAACGAAGGCATGGAAAAGGGTCTTTTACTTTTTCATTTTACTTTTTATTTTATTATTTTCAAAAATATTTTTTACAAGTAAACAGGCTTTTTTCGCCGTGTGGGTCACGGGGCCTCATTATGGGGAAAATAAGAATAGACCCACTGCCTCCCCAACAAGCAGGTGGTAAAAATAGAATAACTGGAGGCAGAGTGCATCTCCTGACAGGCAAGGAAACCAAGAATCTGCATACAATTAAGTCAGATCTGTTGATGTGCCTGCAACACTCAGGTCCTGGACCAAGACTAAAGTTCAGAGGTGGACAAACAACCAGAACTTTCTGCTTGATTTACAGCTGGTGAATATGAAGACAAAGAAGAAACGGACTTATCCTTATTAAAAAATGGTAAAAAAAAAAAAGGTTAAAAATCGGGAGATGTGAACCAGTGTCATTGCACACGGTTATAAACCATAAGTGCTCTGCCACCAGTACAGACAGCTGATAAAAATTGTCCTCCTGTGTCGCCGTTCGCAAGTAACTCTGTAGCTACAGCGACGTTCCTCCACTTATCCCAGAGTGTCAACTCTGGTACCCACTTCCTAGAGGCTGGGTGAACCCCGGGAACCACTCGGTTTTGAACACCGACTGTGGCTGCAGCCAGTCGCAGCTAGATTTGAAAGTGAGCCTCTTATCAACTTCGCTAACACGGCCCCCTACTTATCCTTATTGTCCCCACAAAATCTATTCAGTACATATCTTTTTATAGAAAAAGGAGGAAAATGAAAAACGCATGACTTACCCCCAATGGCGAGACCTCTGCGTCTAGAAGAAAACAAAGTGCAGGGTGGTGGCTTTTGCAGCCGTCGCATCTCCACACAACCAATCTCCTCCAGTATCTGCACAATCACAGTCAATCAAGGCAACCAGTCAGTGAAATCTTCAATACGCTGTTTATACGTTCATACAGGCTCAATCACAAGAAGGACTACAAGTTCCAGTGTGCAAGTATCAGAAAGCAATGAGTGACTTTCCAAAGTATTAACTCTTTGAGACCCAAAGAATGCATCATACGTATATAGTACATAAAAGCCCAATGAACGCATGATGCGCCGATTTTATGACTCTTTACTACCACATGGGCCTGTGATGCTGAACCCCCTGGGACTCAAAGAGTTAATGATTATTCTGTGATATTGTGTTAAGCAGTTAAGTGACTGGGTACTGTACTGTTGCCTGTAGTTGATGTGAAGAATTGTTTTTTTAACTGACAAATTTTTTCAGCCATAATTCATCTTACAGTCCACATCGTGTGACGTTGGTATGTATCCAAAACCTTCTTTTTTGAGTACTTTTATCAGTTCTGACACAGATAATCTTCCCTGCTATGATGTCTTTCCTTCTTCCTTCACGTTCGCCTGCTGTTAACTTTGGTAAAGAGGGGCTGCGTGGTCTCAAGGCATGGTGTCCTCCTCGAGTGCTAGAGGTTCCGGGTTCAATCCCCAGTAAGGGCTGGGATTTTTTTCACGTGGACTTAGACCTCTAGTAATTCCCCCTGTTCACTGGGTAATGAGATCAACGCCATGTTCACTGAAAATCGAAAAGAGTAGCCTAATGGCGCTGCCTGGTCAAAGATTTTGAGTTAAAAATCTACCCAAAGTATTTCAGGATCCTCGCCGGTGCTACAGAGCCTGTGCACTGTGTTGAGCTTCTTCAGACTCAGACTTGAGTTAGAAGAAAGGACGGAGCACTAATGGGTTACTACTACCCGTGTGCCATGATGTTGATCCGTTGTTCAAACTTCAAACCTAACTCTGGCAGAATGATCGGGGTGTTCATCCACCTCCAGACATTAGTCTTGTTTCTAAAATCTGAGTAATTTGTGCGCATCCATTTAACAGATCTGACTTATCAGTATACAGACTGTTGGTTCCTTACGCGTCAGGTAGATTCAGTGACTAAAAAAAACTCATCTTTCCTGAAAACACATGCAGTGTGAGTATAAATTATCTGCTTCTTCTTCTTCTTCAGCAGTATTCTGAGCCCTTTAGGTTCTGGCTGCAGATTTCAACCGCCTCCATTCATCTCTGTAACTGGTATTCTCTTTCCAGCTGGTGACTCCAAGCATTAGCAGGTCTGCCTGAGCACTATCTTTCCACTGTTTTCTTGCCCCATTCATCTCTTTATTACACAAGTATTAATAAAAGCAATGAGAAAAAATATTGCAAACAGCATCTAAAGATAATTAGAGTCAAACATTTGAAACAGAGACTGACTGAAGTAAAAGCATCTGACAATTGTTTACTTAGTAGAATATATGAAATCATTACCGAAAAAACTACTAGCATTTAAAAACAGACCGAGTACAGAACTTCTATAAGATAACAAGAAAACAAAAATCCAAAACAAAACAGAGTAGAGATTTTTTTTTTTTAAAGTTTTTTTTAAACAGAGTTGAATATTTGAACAAGAGAGTGACTAGAGCAATTTAAAAAGTTAAGTTGTGCATTCTTTAGAGGATGTCACAGAACCAACCCCAGCATTACCCCCCCCCCCTCCTCCCTCACCACCCTGCTGTTTGGGGTTTTCTAGGCAAATTTTACATACAGTAGTTTGCCACTGCTTTCTGACCGATCAGTTCTCAGTACCACTGTGGCAACCAACGCATGACAAATCATCCGTAACGCCTAAGCCACAGATGCCGATGATTAGAGCAGACACTTTGAAAAAGAGAATACAGTATTTGAAAATACAGACTGAGTATAAACAAAAACACTGAGTAAAAACGAAAACACTGCCTGCGTATAAATGAAAACACCGACTGAGTAAAAATGAAAACACGGAGTATAAATGAAAATATTGACTGCGTATAAACGAAAACACTGACTGAGTATAAATGAAAACACTGACTGAGTATAAACGAAAACACTGACTGAGTATAAATGAAAACACTGACTGAGAATAAATGAAAACACTGACTGAGTATAAATGAAAACACCGACTGAGTATAAATGAAAACACTGACTGAGAATAAATGAAAACACTGACTGAGAATAAATGAAAACACTGACTGAGTATAAACGAAAACACTGACTGAGTATAAATGAAAACACTGACTGAGTATAAATGAAAACACTGACTGAGAATAAATGAAAACACTGACTGAGAATAAATGAAAACACTGACTGAGAATAAATGAAAACACTGACTGAGAATAAATGAAAACACTGACTGAGAATAAATGAAAACACTGACTGAGAATAAATGAAAACACTGACTGAGTAGAGCAGCGTTTCTCAAACATTTTGGCCCAATGCACCCTTGACAGGCAAAAAAACAATTTCGCAGCACACCCACCCACCCTAAAAGCCGTTTGAATACTTTGGGAAAAAAAACCCAGTACTAATTTTAATGTTCAGTTGTCTTTAATGCGTAAATGAAACTGTTTGGATGAATTTTTCATGATTTCCTTCATGTTTGTGGGAAGTTTAGTTGACTGTACCCTCAAATCACTTGAAGGTTGCTCCTGTATCTGTTTTTGTACGTAAGTGTACATTGAGAATGTACTTTAGCCTTGCCAATAGCATTGTTTTCTGAACACACGTGCATCCAGAACTCTTCTTGGCTGCCTCCTTGGTATTTTTTTGTTTTAAACTGCTGTCTTCGCTGATCTCAAGCAGATTTAGAAACATTCATGATTATTGCTGCGGCACCCCTGGCATACGCTTGCGGCACCCCTAACATACGCTCACGTCACCCCTGACATACGCTCACAGCACCCCTGACATACGCTCACACCACCCCTGATATACACTCACGTCACCCTGACATACGCTCACGGCACCCCTTACATAAGCTCGCGGCACCCATTTTGAGCACCGCTGGAGCAGAGCATAAAAAAAAGGAGTATAGATTTTATTGATCAAAATGAATAAAGCATCTGATAACATTTTTAGGAAGCCATCCACTTACATCCATAGCATCCAATGTGGTGGCTGGGAGAATGTCTGGGTTCAGCATGTGGCAGAGCTTGTGCAGGGAGTAGCCGGGGTTTGCCATCAGGAATGTCATGATGCGCTGCAGCAATGTCTGCAGGCCTTGCCAGTTCAAGCTACCACTAAGGTGGCGCCACAGGTGACACTGATACACAATACACTCACGACTGTGGGAGTAGAAATGTCGTGATGTTTAACATATATAAACTATAATGTTATGTTAATCATCATTCCAAAATGGTAACACAAACAACACATAATCATCATGACCAGTGTCGTCACCAGCTGTGAACTCTGGCAGAAAACTCTGGTTATTCATCAATTTCTCGAGTCTTGTTTTAGGATCTGTATTTTTCATGCATATCTGTTTTACAGATCTTGTTTACATTTATGCAGACTGTTGGTTCCTTCACTTTCAGGCAGATGTGCTCCAACTTCAAAGGAAAAATAACAAATGTCACCTCTAATGATATGCTTGAGTTCACAGCTGGTGAACACGAAAAAAAAAAAATTGTAACATTTAACCAGCATCCCTGAAGGGAAAGCTATAGGTTATAATTGCGACTAGGTTATGTGCACCATATAAAACTGTTCAGCACTGCATGACATCAAGAGCCCTGAAAAGGACTCCCACAGTGTTGATGCGATAACCAAATGCTGTCCCGACCGACGACGAAGTCGTCAACCTGTGAACACATGTGCGACCATTGTTGCGTGTGTAGAGTTTAAGTTAGTTTAAGAAAGACAACCACGTTAAATTACATGACACATCGCATGGATTACATACCTTTCAGTTCTTGTTACCACTTTAGAAGCCTTGGCTTCGTTGGTCTTTGAGATGGGAACTTGGACAAACCAGATTTTGGCGTGTCGTCTGCTGACATACCTTCTTTGGATGTTGCCAACTGTAAATATCTGTAGACAAAGTGGTGCCGGTTGTAGGTGGTGGCTTTGTTGGAGAGATTTCCTTACAACGTATAAAACGCAAACAAGGCTTGACATACAAGTGCGAGAGTGATAAGGTTGTAAGCAGGCGAACCAATGAACAAAATACGGGGAGAGGGGCCGCTCACGCCCACGCCCCACTCCCCCCTGACTGACTGACTGACTTTCTACCCCACTAGGACATCACACCATGCGGATGAGGGTAGCCGTGGAGAGGTCCCATAAACCGCGTTCATTCAATTGGCCATATTGATGGCCAACCTATATTGCGGCCCCTGGCAAAAGCCATGGTGGGGCTTCAAATAACGAAAAATGTCGTCCTAAAAAGGACGAAACACCTATTGCTATGTTATGCAACTCCCCCCTCCCCCTTCTTTTATTTTTCAAATATCCTAGCCAAAAAATGAACTCCCTATCCCCCCCCCCCCCCCCACCCACAGTAACTTTGTACGGGGGTTTATTTGCGTTTCGCCACATTATTTGTATTATTATTATTATTATTATTATTATTATTATTATTATTATTATTATTATTATTATTATTATTATTATTATTACTGTGCTGAAGAGAAAGTAAATTTAAAAATATACTTCAAAGATTACGAAATGCATAAAAAATACATCTGAAGAAAATGTCTTTTATAGATGGATAAAAGGACAAAATTATTAGGTGAGGGGTTAGCTCAGGTTATGGCACCTATGATAGAAAGGCTGGCAGATTGGGGGGGGGGGGGGGGGTAAGTGGGGGTCGGGGAGGGGGTAAGTGGGGGTAGGGGGGGGGGTAAAAAAAGCTGAGAGAAAAGTGCATAAATAAAGTAGACACTGAGAGAGAAAGAAAGTGGGAGCCTGAGAGAAGGAGAGAGAGAACGAGAATGCTAGAGGAAGGGAAGAGAAGAGAAGAGGCTGCGAGACAGAGAGGGGCACACACACACACACACACACAAAGAGAGACAGAGAGAGAGGAGAGAGGGCACACACATACGTACACATACACACACACACAGAGAGAGAGAAAGAAAGAGAAGAGAGAGAGAGAGAGAGAGAGAGAGAGAGAGAGAGAGAGAGAGAGAAGGACAAAGACTTGTCGAATGGCACAGTCCCAAGACAAAATAGACAACCATCAGCAATAACAGGACAGAATAAATACGATAAGACCTGGCGACGAAGCAAATACAAACACATACATGTTCTTTATATATATAGTAGACAGACAGGATGTCCAAAATATAATATTTTGTTTGCATTATCAACTTCTGCCGTACAGACTTAGCTTATTTGCTATGTGTATCTGGTGGCAAGAGTACATCTATATTTTTCATTGCCTCTTGTGGGTTCCGGGACCCTATTTTGGGAGGCGGGGGATATTAGTTCCACTGCGCTTCCCCTTCATTACAAGCATGTCGTAAAATTGACCTCCTCTTCTTCTTAGCGTTCCTCGGCTGAAAACTGCAGCTGAGAGCTCTGAATGTTCGTCTACTTCTGTTCGTCCTGTTATATATAGAACTTGTGTTTTGAGTACATGTCAGTTTTACAGATCTGGCTTATTTGTATGCAGACTGTGAGTACGCGTGTGTGTGTGTCTTTAACCACACCAGGACCGTAAAACGAGCGACCAGCACCAGGTGACACAAAGTGCCACCATTCGGATGAGGATCAACGGGGCACAAATCCCAGAAACCCCGTTCAACCTTAGGTTATATTAGGGCCCCTACTACAACGGAGTGGGTTGTTTCCTCACCTCGCAAGCAGATGCCCGACTTCAAAAAAAACTTCCCTAATTAGTCGCCTTTTATGACATGCTTGTTAGAAAAAATGTGGGGGAGGGGGGGGGGGGCAGTGGGTCCATTCATTCACATCAAAAACGAGGGCCTAGACCCCACATAGGGAGGATAAGGTCTAGAATTGTCATTTTCTGACGTGTTTTATGTATCGCACTGATTAAAAGATTCCAACCCAATGACCAAAGGTAAATATTTTCTCATTAAGGTCTAATAAGATTCTGGGTCAAATTTACGTTTCTCGGTCCATCTAGACACTGCCTGATCTTTTATTCATACTTTCTTAGACTCTTCTACGTTGGGGGGTGTCACGTTGTCCTTCCTACATTTCACAATCCACATCAGCTCTGGGATGTAGTCGCGAATGTACTATACTAACGACGACACAGCTTTAAACGAGTCCCCAGGAACATCTAAAATCTGAACGGCCCTTCACCCCACTCCCACCCCACCATTTACCACAGCCTGAGCCTATGTCACACAAGAGACTTGTTTTCGAAGAAAGCAGAACAACGTGACACCCCTCTTACCTAGATCAGACAGAAAAAGTGTGTAGATGGGCCGGGAAACCTGAACAGGACCAGATTCTGACTACGCTGGTCTTGAGATTTTCCTATGTGAAAGGATAAGTGTCGACGATCCGGACTTCTTTCAGTTTCCCGTATCATCATTCTTCTATAGGAAGAGAGAGGTTGGTCTATAGGAAGAGAGAGGTTGGTCTATAGGAAGAGAGAGTTTGGTCTATAGGATAGGTTGGTCTATAGGAGAGGGTTGGTCCTATAGGAAGAGAGAGGTTGGTCTATAGGAAGAGAGAGGTTGGTCTATAGGAAGAGAGAGGTTGGTCTATAGGAAGAGAGAGGTTGGTCTATAGGAAGAGAGAGGTTGGTCTATAGGAAGAGAGAGGTTGGTCTATAGGAAGAGGGAAAGTTGGTCTATAGGAAGAGAGAGGTTAGTCTTTAGGAAGAGAGAGGTTGGTCTATAGGAAGAGAGAGGTTGGTCTATAGGAAGAGAGAGGTTGGTCTATAGGAAGAGAGAGGTTGGTCTATAGGAAGAGTGCCCATCTAGCTGGGTATTATTTATTTCCCTTTCTTACTTTTCCACTAGGTGGCTTTTGTAGCCACTGACTTTTTTACAGCATGAGACAGCCAACCCTAAGCCCAACCCTGCCCTTATTTGCCTCTCACTACATGCCTGGTAGGGCGCAGTACTGCTATTCTTTGCTTCCCGTGTGGATTCCAGAAGAAAAGGGAATACTCCACAACGGGAGCATAGACAACAGGAGGCCACCGGGCGATTTGGAAATATCCGAAAATCATATCACTGCTTACTATATTCCTTTGAAAATTTAATATTATGTTAAGCTAACTGGATATTTACCCTAGATTGATTTATACAATCATTAGGAATTTTTACTAACAAATTAAAACTGTGTAAACATGTTTGGTGTAATTACGCAAAGTCCAGCGTTATAATTAATATTTAGCTGTTGTCGTTTATTATTACCTTTTAAAAGTTGTATGAATGCAATAATTTCTGACAGGAGTGAGGACGGATACATTTTAGATCTGTTTGTCAAATTCCCAACCCTCTGAAAATAAATTTAGTTTGTTCGATCATTCGTTTACTCCAGCTCACACCAGTGGGGATTTACGCAAGTTCTACAAAATATGAAACCACAGAAATAGACCGGAAAGGGATCTCAAGCGGCGCATACAAAGGGAAGACTAAAAGTGATATCACAAAAGAACCTCGTCAGTCACTGCCCTCGGGACATTCTCTTGTGGGTTTTAACAATACAAGATTTCTGACAAGTTTTAAAGCCAGTGAACTAGATATATTTCATCCTACGACCAGTCAATAGAAACAAGACACAAACCACTGCTCAGTGGCTTAACTATATGACTTAAATGACAAGAACTTAATATCAAAGACCCATACTTCCTTTCCAGTCCAACGGTTATCAGGTAACAGACAAATTACCATCTGCCATAAACTCCTGTACAAAAATGTCTTTATCACTTGCGCATTAATTCACCGCCTGAGCGTAAATTAATAGAGGAGAGGATACACGAAGTGGTATCATAATTCAGGAGACCAGGGAAGGATATGTACGACATAGTTCCCATTTCATACAAGTGTTCTAAATATCTTAGAGAAGTTGACATATATTATGTGTAAAGATTGTTATCAAATTAAATTAACGAATGTACGACACTAAGTTTAGTTCAAGGCTCTTGGTGGTAACTGGATGCTTGACAAGTTAGATGACGTAAGGACCCTTTGGAGTGGAGTCAAACAGTGCGGAAGCACAAGCAGGGGCAGCGAAGAGTGACCTGGGGAT